ACTAGATGATCATGGTGATGCCTTCTGGCCTTAAAAGTCTGTGAGACACCAGGGGTTTATTTCTAGCTCTGCCGCTGTCTCACTGGAAGGCTTTGCATGAATCATTTCTCTGTGCATGTCAGTTTTTCCTATTTGAACCCTTGTTTCCCCTTTATTAAAAGTTTTGAGCTCCTGTGAAGGAATGAGGCTCTGGAACGTGGGAGAGTGTTAGTGAATGGCACAACTCTCATGCCCTTATGTGCTCACACTACTGCCTGCTGTTCCCTGATGTCTTGCAAAAGGGTGAAATGTTTCCTGGGCCACCTCACAGGCACTCCCAGAACCTTCCATTAGTCCCCCCTCCATTCTGAAACCCTGTTTTCAGGCATTTACACAGTTTTGGGAACAAAAGCATCCCTTTGGTTCTAGCCATGCATGAGCAGTCAGTGAAGCTCCAGTTGTCCTGTTTGCATGACTCAGTTACTCACGCTGGTACCCTGGCCATGTCCCAGCTCTGTGGTTTCATTCAGTTCCCTCTGTATTCTCAGGTAAAGACAGGATTCTTTGTTATTCCCTGTCTGATCAAGCAGCTGCTGTGTCTCTGACCAGAGGTCAGTGAAGTGATCCTTTATATCCAATCCCCATCTTCAGAGGGGTTTGAGACTTAGCTAATGAACTGGCAGGGAGAAGCATGCATAGAAATCCTTGAGTGAAGGAGGTTTAAGGGCCCTCTGCACTGGGAAACTTGAGGCTTTGAAATTTTTCATTTCAATGAAACTTAAATACCTAAGGGTCTAGGTCACATTTGGAAAGGGGACTTAGGCTTCTAAATCACTGAGGCAGGTTTGAAAATGTTTCCTTCAAATTCTGACTGTCTGCCTCTGTTCCCCCTCTGTAAAATGGGGATAATTATACTTCATGACTATTTTGACAATAAATTCTTTGGAACCAGAACTGTTTTTTACTAAGTGTTTGTACAGCACCTAGCACAACAGAGCTCCAGTCTTAACTGGGGCCTCTAGGCACTAACACAATACATATATAAGAATAATAAATAGTGATAATGACAGTAATTAATAAGTACCTGGATAGATAATAGAAGAGTCTTTAAAACAGCTCCCTGTGGCTTGAATACTAATGTCATAATCATGAAAAGATTGTGCATGTTTAAAATTAAATAAGTATGATTGTTAAGGATTAAACATTCAGTGCTACATTTTCAAGACAGTTAAGTGCATGTGCAGTGGCCTGGAGAGCTTGTGCGGAATGGGTAACTGCACATGCGGATGGGTAATTAGAGCCCCTGGCATGTGCACATATCCCGTTCACCTCCTTGGCTGCAGTAGCTATGCCAGCAGTTGGTCACCTGACTTGTTTGAAGATGTGGCCCTGAGGATCCCCTTCTTAGGTTAAATCTACTTGGAAACTGTTTTCCCACCTTATCCTACTCAGCTTCCACACCTGGGCCACAAACAGCATTAGGATGGTCTCTGAGGAGGCAAGGGTGTCCCATGACCTTTTCTCCCTAGTCTGTAGGTTGGACAGGACATGCAGGCTGGGCACATGACACGAGTGCTCCCTCCTTCCATTCCCTAAGGGTATTACTGAGCATGCTGCCTCCATCACTACAGCCAAACCCTCTTGCCTTTGTGGAGTGATTGAGACCCTGTGCCAGATGGAGAGCGAATGCAGGGATTGGCCTCCTGTTCTCCACCTGACAGTGCTGGGAGCATGACTTGCTCTGTCTCTGGACCAGCAAAGCACTATGGACTCTCCTTGGCTGTAGAGGGAAGGAATGCCAGCACCTGATCATACACATTCTCACTTGCCTGGACCTTCTGGGCCATAAGCAGCTAAATTGCCTGCAGTAGAGGCAAGAGCGGCTGCCCTCTGTGAAAGCACTGAACTGGGAAAGGATATTTTCATGATGAATGAGGGCAGTTTGTTGAGCAGGGGGCCTGTGGCCCAGAGCTAATTGTACTGCCACTTTATCGCGTCCTCGCACCTGCTCACGTGATGCCCCCACTGCCAATACATCTCCCCTCCCCGCAGCTCCTAGAGAGGCCATCAATCCTCTTGCTACGCATGAGCTCTTCCCTGTGCTGCCCTAGCATAGAGTGTGCTCATATACATGCGTGTGTGTGTGTGTCTGGTTTTCTGACTGAACGAGCTCAGCTGGCCACTGTGGCTAGCGTGGCTCTCCCTGTGCTGGGTGGTCACAGCAATTCATTCTATTTATCAAAAGAGGCCTTTCTGTCTGAGAGATTTCATGGGAGCAGCTGTCTGTGCAGTGGAAAATCTTAGGCTCAGTGGGGGATATATTCCCCATACCAGCAGTCATTACTGTTGGGAGGAGCCTATGTTGGCATTTTTATTTTTCAGAGTATTTGATGCTGGAAAAATTGGCTGGCCTGACAGTCCAGGGGGCTAAAGACCTCTAAAACCACAGGGCAGGCAGCAACTAGGTAGGGCCAGTACAAATTTGTCACACATACTGTCCCCCCCAAATGTGTCTCAGACTCCAAGTCCTGTGTTTTGACCACTAGACCATGTTGCTTCAGTAATCAGATGGATCAGTGATTTTGTCTGTCATGGTTGAAAGTATGATACTGAACTGTATGGACCACTGAGCGTCCCAGAACCGTCTTGCCCCCCATTATTTCTTTAAAATAAGAAATAAAATATTTCTTTAAAAGTTGTTATTTCTTTAAAATAATCTGAAGCCAGAAACGACAAATCCAGTGAAATATTGGGAAGGAAGGAAAGAAGAAAAAGCAAGAAAGAAATGTGATTTTTTTTTTCATTTGGATATGAATTTTGATGAGTTTGAATTGTGGACCCACTGTAATTAAAAATACATAACTAGTCATTTTAAATGTAGTTGTTTTACTTAATTGCTTTTGCCACCAGGACTGAAAGGAATAAAATAAATAAATAAAAGGCACCTTCCCAGTGAGGTGGCTGAAGCTCCCTTTGAATCCAACTGAAACCACTAATTTTAGCGGAAGATGCTGCGGGGAGTGGGAGGGGGTGCTATTCTCAGCAGCTGCATCAGAGAACAAGCTGCTCCTGCGATAGTGGTTTTTCCGCCCTTCTCTATCAGCATAAAGAATGTCTGTTTAACACGTTGCACAAAGGCCCTGTTTAGAAGGACTTTATTCATATTTAATTGCCAGCTTGCTGCAGCTCCTGTCTTTAATTACCTTTTAAAAAGCAGGTTATAAAAATGCAACAGATACTCAGCCCCTTCCCTACCTAAATTATGTGCTCCTCGACTGTTCCCATTAATGTGAGCCAAGCATAGTAGAAAAAGAAACTGAGAGAGCATCCCTCATGCAGCTCTACTGATGTATCTTAGTCCTGAACTGAGACATCATCCCAGTGCTGTTACACACCTGGGTTCCCTGTATACACCAACTTGATCAACCTCACTCCCAAACCATATGTAGTAGGTCAGGACAGAGATATAGTACATTTAGGATTTACTGGTGTGGCGTCCTGACAGGTTTTTTGCTCCGTCAGTGATGATAAACGTTTGGATGCGTGTGTTTTTGTATGCATTTTTAGTTTATTATGTCAGCTCTGCTCAGGTAGCTAGCATAATAGACTTTACAAGAGCCCCCAAAGACCACAGACTTAGATAAGAGATGAAGGCACCAGAGTCAAGTTTATTGTCAAACAAAGTACATTAATAGTTGTTGGTAGCCAGATGGTCTCCGAGCCCCTATGCTTTTGTACCCATGACAATGCACGGCTTAGTTAATAATATGGATTTTACTATTGCCCCGTAGGCTGGACAATGAGTTAAGTTGAGGTACCCCAGCATTTATAGACAGAGATAAACAATCTATGATATACAACTTACGCAGCATTTTATGCATTAATGACATGTTTGGTACCTTCCCTTGTACTTTCCTCTAAAGCATTCCTATTCGCTACCCATTGTTATGCTTTTACTTCTGTTGTTTTAAACTGTTTTATCATGTACTAAGTTGGGGTGTCCTTGTACTGTCTTGGTGGAACGAATTTACATATTTCATGAGCTTTTAGCAGTGTGAGCAGTTCTAGTGCCGAGAGACACTGACTTGCAGGCAAACATCTGCTTTTGACAAGGCCTGTCTGTAACTCATAGCATAACTCTTGCTTACTTTGGTTCAGGCACCAAGCCCATGTTTCAGGCTCTTTCTTCTACACCACAGACTGCCAGGCTATTGAGTGTTAGGCTATCATGTGTATTACTGCTGAGACATGTCTTGTCTGCCCCACCACATGCCCTGTTATCCTGCCCTAGGCCTTTCCGGAGACTGTCCATCATCTGAATTTTGTGTCTAAGAAGATCCCCCATGGGGGGCTACCTGTGAACTTAAAAACCCAGATCCGTGGAAGTACAATAGTTCAGTAACTCACCAGCTGTCAAGCCAGCCACAAATTCATAATGCATGCTGTCATAGCTGGCTTTAATGGAGCATCTGATGGGCTTCTGATATCCTTTCTGTAGTGTAAGTGCCATAATACATGTGCTGCTAATGTATTTGGGATCTTATGATGTGCCCTGCTGTGTAATGTTAAATAAAAATATAAAATTCTATGTAAAGGGACAGGCCCTTCACCAAGCATAACCAACTTCTGTCTGGTGCCCATGGTAATCACACCCTTCTGCATACAAACAGAATCAGCAGTGACTAAAATTGGTACCACCAGCTGTCTGTTCAATGTCTTGTGCCGGATCTCTGTTCCTAGTGACACAGATGTCCAGCTCACAATTGGTATCGTCACTACCATACCCCCTCCCCCAGTCTCTTGATGCCAAAGGGTTTCAAGTACTGGCTAGGTTCTAGAGGAGCCCCTCTGTGTCAGGAATGAGTCCCAGGACTGGAACTGAAGGGAGAGCTTTCAGGGATGCTGCTCATGCTGTATGTGGTCTGTGGATGGAGGGTTTCAACCTCTAGGAGGATTCCCTGTGGGATTGGCTCTGTCAGTCCTTGCAGACACGCTCACTTCTCTTCCTTTTCTCTTGGCAGATCAAAGAGCTCTTTGTGAGTTTTGAGGACACTCCTCTGGGAGCAGCATCCCTGGCTCAGGTCCACAAGGCAGTGTTGCAGGATGGGAGGACAGTGGCAGTAAAAGTCCAGCACCCGAAGGTTCAGGCTCAAAGCTCCAAGGACATTTTGTTGATGGAGGTAAGCCATAACACCTTCCGTGCAAACATGGTGGGCCAGATTCAACCAGATGGCCAACCACCACAGATCCGCTCAGCTCAATGGGGATATGAGCATACAGATTTGGGCCTGTGTCTCAACATGCTCTAAAAGAATAAATGATGTGGTTAGAGCCTTAGGAAAAGAAAATATAAAATCAGGAAGGGCTGCACTGTTAGGGATGCGATTGTACATGGAGGGATTGGAGTGCAGTGGTGGATGAGCAGATGGGAGAAAGGCAGTTTGCGGGAGGGGAGGAGGAAGAGAGGAATATGATCTATGAGAAAGAAACGAATAAGTCCATGGGGGTTTCAGAAACAAGAGGCAAAGTCCTGAAGTCCTTAGATTGGCAACGCCAGTTAACGTTGAGATCTGGCCAAAGAGGGCTCTGACTGGACTCTGGAATGCAGGGGGAGTAACTAGAGCTGTTAGATCATTGGGTTGAAGAGATTGTGTTCCTCTGTGCATGTGAGAAGGTGAGCAGTGGCATCCTGAACATATAGGGTTCCAGAGGGCAGAACCTGGGCAGGCTGAGGAGCAGAGTGTTGATAAATCAATAACCAACATGGGAAGAGGGAGAAGGTCAGTGCCCCTGTCATGGTCACACCTGCTCAGTGTGCAGGTTTTCCTTGGAATAAGGGCTGTAAAAGTTACAATGAAAAAATCATTCCCTGTGACTGATTGCACCATATTCTGATCGCTTCAGTCGCTCTGACGAAATCTCTTGTACACTTTGCACGCACGTTGTTTCATGGCTACCAGAATGATCATGGCATGCTTTGCATAAGCCAGGGCCCACATGGAAGAGGATGAGTAGAATCAGGCCAGGAGGAAGAACAAGGAGGTGTGAGACTGGGACAAGAGGATATTGTGTGTGAAGAATCCAGGTTCCAGACCCTTGAAAAGGCCCCCATGGGAGCAAGCCTCCCAGCTTGAGTTGACAGACTTGAGTTGGAGGGGCTCATGCTATCCCTCTAAAAATAGCTGTGTGGACAGCGCTTTGAAGTTGCAGCTCAGGCTCCGAAGCCTGGACCTGCAGGCTGCGTAGATATACCCAATGGCATTCTCTCCAGTAATATAGATAACATCTGCACATTCCCTACCGTGTAGCTGTAAAGCGCTAGATTTAGTTTCTTTTTGCTTGTTGTACTATTATGAGACATTTTAATAAATAAATTTATGATTCATTCTTCTCTATTTTTGGAATAATCCCCTTGGGAAGCTTGAAACTAAAAAAATCAGTTTCCTCCCTGAGATTTATTGTTCTCCTTCCTGTTCACACACTCTGTTTTGTCCTAGTAGGGATGCCAGCAAGCATCTGTTATGCGCTTTCGTTATTGTAGAGTCACATGTGAGTGCTAAGCTACATGTACTTGTTACTGTACAGTTGCTTGTGAATGCTCCCTGCCTACATTGTCTTGTTTTTGAAAGGTCTCTTGTGCATGCTGGGCTGCACACATTAGCTTATTGTGATAGTGGGGTTGTTTGTGTGTGCCTGCCCTTTGCACATTTTTTTTTTCCAAACTTGATTTAGACCCATGCTGATATATATCAGCTAAGGATCTGGCCCTTTAAGAATGACACAGATTTTGCAACTAGATAAGAGTTTGCATTTAGGACTGTTTAAATACTTATTGATATAGTCTCCTACAGCCAGTGATGAGAGAGAATCAGAAAATATAGATGGAAAATTTACAATTTTACTGCCTTTATTTGCAGGTTTCATAGAATCATTGCTGACGCTTTTAAAATTAGGACAGCACCTGGTAAATCCAGAGAGAGATTCCACTCAACTCTTGCAGACTATATCATTACTATAAAAGGGATGTGTGGCAGGGGGGAGAGGGGTGCCTTCACTGAGATAACCACGTCAATGTAAAATCCTAGGTAAGGCAAGGGACAGGTTTTTTTTACTTTAATGTACCCAGCCGAGGTAAAGCCAAGGTAAGAGGGTCTGACATTGACCTTGTCTAGCAAAATCAAAGTAAAACCTCCCTTTTGCTTTGTCTTCTTCACTAGAGTTTTACATTGAGATGACAGCTATCTTGAGTAAACAATCTCAATGTAAAACACCTTTTTTTTTTTTGAATGAACTCCAAGCTTTACTTATGTTGATCTTCTATGAATAGGAAGATACTAATTCAGGGTATGTCTACGCTACCCTCCTAGTTCGAACTAGGAGGGTAGTGTAGACATACCCTTATTCCAGGGCAATATTTTAGTCACCTCTTGAAAAGTGCCAGACAATTGCTATTAATTATGTCCCTGTTTATATTAAAATCATTAAATAGACTTGAATCATTATTTTAAAAAGCAGAAAAGAGTGTATAAATACTCTGATCACAAGCATCAGTGCAGTAATCCTGCAGCCCTGGAAAGTTTGTGCACATGTACATGGAGATCGCTGATTACATTTCATTTGGGTGACATAAATTTGAGAGGATTTATGCCCCCAGACATAATAGGAGGAAATCATTCAATAATATCTGAAACCCAGTGATTACATTTTTAAAAGGACACTGTGGACTGAGTTTAGGACTGACATTTAGATAGGAGAAGTCGGGAAGATGAATAAATGGTTTCACACAGCTGAACAGAAGCAGAAATAGTTCATGAATTTATTTTTGTTTTACATTTCACTGGTAGCTGCCTTTTTGTGTGCATTGCAAACATTCCCACTGCAGTGCAGAAAAACTTCACTCACACTGTTGTGCCAGGAAGTGAAATGGTCTAGATTCATGCACAGACGAGTCTATTTTCATTTTCCTGGCTTAGTGAATAACAAAACAGATGGTAAAAACTGTGCAAAGTGAATGGCTTTTTAAAAAGTCTTTCCATTTTAGGACTCTCAGGTGGCTTTAATAACAAACTGAATGATTTTTTTAAAGATATGGGACCAGCTCCTCAGCTGCTGTCAGTTGGCCACTGAAATCAGTAGAGCAGCAGCAAATGGCACAGCTTTACTTGAGTTTTATGCTGACTGGGTTTGTTAACGGAGCACAGGAACATTTTATATAGCTAGGATTATGCCACTATATGCAGTTTCCTGTATTTGAAGATAAGGATGTGAAAGGTTAACTGGTTAGCTGTGTAAACAGGAAGCACCACCCTTAATGCTCATCAGTTCCGGTTCATCATTAACCAATGGGGGTTGGAGCAGCTTCCCTCTTGCCACGGGTAGGGGGCTGCTCCAGGCCTGTGAAGGGCCCAACACAGACAGGAGCTGCTCTAGTCATCTGGAGTAGCCTCTGTCCAAAGTGGGCCCAGGAGCCCCTGCCAGTAGCAGGGGGCCATGTGCGGGGCTTCTCTTGCTGGGCTAGAGCAGCCCCTGCTTGTGGTGTGAAAGGCCTGTGCCAACCCCACGCCATGCCTGCACCACCTTTCATCAATTAACTCAGGGGTTCTCAAACTTTGTGATACCGCAACTCCCCTCTAAGTTGCTTGCGTCCCCCGGGGGGGTTGGGACCCACAGTTTGCGAAACGTGGAATTAACTGGTTAAACACAATATTTGACTGGTTAACCAATTAAATGGGATTTTACATCCCTATTTGAAAAATCACCTTGCTGGGCCATCCTCTGTTTCCTTTATGAAGGACTGTCTGCAATTTACCCCTCTAGATTTCCTCTTTCTGGTCTTGTAGTTTTATTAAATATTACTGTAAACAGAAATGTCCATAAAATGTTCAAGCTGGGATTTGCAAAGTCACCTAAGGAGTCTGACTGCTCAGTAACTATTCATTTTAATCGGGTCTGGGTATCCTGATTCCTTAGGCAGTACTGCCTATTTTGGTATGAAAGTTAATAAGTCAAAACCCCAGGATGGCTGAAATTGGGCCCTGACTCTTGTAGGGAGTGTTTTTTCAAGGCTGCTGCCTTTTACCTGTAGAGAAAATTGGCCTTCATTTCTGAACTGCCCAGTGGCATTTTCCAGTGTCAGCAAAGTCCTTGCTCAGCAGTGTAAAGAGTAACGTAAAGGGGACAGTCCTTATTTTAGATGTCCCTATTTCACATTAGCTGAAGGCCATTGAAATAAAACTGAACAGTGACTCATCAAATCATAGGAATCAGACCTTAAAAAAGACTTGTGGGTCACTTAGTCCAACCCATTCAGGGGCCAGCATGATCACACCATACAGCCTACTCTCCAGGGCTTTGCCTTGTTTATTTTTAAATGTCCCAAGCAGTGGAGCTCCTAATGCTTTGTTTGGGTGGCTTTCTTACCATTTAACAATTCAGCATGCATGTTGGTCATTGTGCGGGTGCAGCAGACCAGACCTTCTCTTTCAGAGGGCCATTGCATCACCCTGTTGCAGAAGGGCTGACCGCCACTGCGGGCCCTGGAACAAGGGGGCAGGGCCTCACGCAAAAGTGGCAGGGCCAAGGGCAGTCATCCCTTCGCGCCACCCAGATCACACTGTGCCCTCCCCGCCCAACCCTCAGAGCCCCACAGAGCAGCACTGTGGCAGAAATTCAAAGGGGCCCAGGGCTCTGGCCACTGCTGCCTGGCCCTGGAGAAATTGCCCCCCTTGACCCACCCTGTTGATAGGCCTGACCTGTTGCACCATGACAGTGCATAAACCCCACAGGCATTTGGAGAAGTTTGGGGTTTTTTTGGTCCTCAGGAAATGTGGGACAAAGCAGTCAGCCCTGTTGCAACAGGGGCAGGTAGAGAGCCACTCTGTAGTGAATGTGCCTGCAGCTACTGTGTGGGTGAGATACCAGTGCATTTCTATGATTTCTCTCCCTTGCCTAGTTGGGAGCACTGAAGGTGGGAGCTGTACTTAACCTCAGTTAAAAGCCAAGGGTTCCTGGCTGGAGAGGAAAGAGGCCAAGCCCAACTCTGGTTGCAGGAGGTTGCATATTTCTGCCTAGCGCCATAATGCTGCCTGTTGAGCAGCTCAGGAGCAGCGGTGCAGCTAATTCGCCACTTTCTTGATTTCAGATTCTCCTGCTGACTGTGAAGCAAATCTTTCCAGACTTTGAATTCATGTGGCTGGTGGACGAAGCTAAGAAGAATTTGCCCCTGGAGTTGGACTTCCTCAACGAGGGGAAGAATGCTGAAAAGGTCGCCCACATGCTCAAGGACTTTGACTTCCTGAAGGTAGGAGAAAGTGTGCGTGTACTTCTGAATATGTGAAGGCAGGAGTCAGGGATGACATACCAGCTCACTGTAGGAGGACGATGATGTATAGCAACAATCTTGTGTCTTGAAGTGAATGTAATGCTGGTGGTAGTGCTTGATCACCAGTCCTGAAGACTGACGGCCAGATCAGGGACAGTACTGGCCCATCTATGTTGCTCATCCGTGACCTTGAGGAACGAGGTGGAGTGATGGGAGTTCAGTCTCCATGGCCTATTTGGTACTCATTTCTCTGCTGACATTGGCTAGGAACTGAGCGGAGACTCTCCAACTCGTTTTCTTACTGTATGCCGCTGAAAACCTGGCAAATGGTAACTGCTTTCTGTCACTACCATTCTGGGCTGTTTCAACATTTGGACTTGGGGATGAAAGTCTTTGTGCCCTGTGACTCATCATCTCTGAGCCATCCAACCCTGCCCAACTCTGGGTTAGACTGTCTCCTCCTGAAGATTGAGTCCATGAGGTCTTCACCTTGTCATGAGCTCTGAATTGTAATCACCTGCTGGGCTATTAGATGGCACCTTTTCTGGGTTTCCTCTGAACCAAGGGCTAGAGAAGGAGATTAAACAGAAGAGCTGGGCTATAGCCAGTGAAGTCAGATGGGAGCAGATATGTTCAGTGAGGCAGTGGAAGGAAGGGCATTTCTCCCTGAATCCACTCTGACTGCACAGACACCCTCCTTACCTGGTGTACATACGCAACCCCCCTCTATGCATGCGCATCCATAGCCAAATACACAGCTTCCCTATGCACACACTGCGTTCCCCCTCATATACTGATGCATAACTACTGAAATATACACATCTGTCTCCTCAAAAACCAACTTGCTCATCTGGCCACAGTTAGACCTATATACTCTTCTCATGCTCCTCACCATATACACAGCTGTGTGTGTGTGTGCACACACCCACAGATGTCCTACTGAAATGCTCAGAGCTATGCACAAACCCACCCCACATACACATACTGAAACATACACACACAACATCCGTCTTCATGCTTCCTCATGTGCATACAAACACACTTTGTCATATGTATGCTCATATGCTGTCATGCAAATGCATTTGTGCATGCACACAAAGATATCTGAATAAATGCACTCACATGGCACAAGCATGTGTGTCTGCATACATCAACTCTCTCCCTTTGCCTTTCACTTCCTGGTGAAAGTGACAGATGCCCAAAACTGTGAGTTTTCATCAGGTTTGCAGGTGTTGCTTCCCTTATCCCTCCTGCCAGTCCTGTGATTCCTCATATCCTGGCTATGGGGGTGCACCGATCCCTTTGGAGCTCGGTGGCACCATGTGACTGCCTTTCCCTAAGTGCAGTTACAACTCTGTGGGACATTGGAGTGGCAGGAAGCCAAGGACCAACAATTCTGCTGAGGAAGTGCTTGTCAAAAGTGATGCATCTTGGACAGCTGTGTCCATTGCTACCATAAGTAGGATATTATGGAGTAAATCCCCATGGAGATAGCCAGTCAGGTCCTCATGGTTTAAAGAGCTGTCAGGTAACAATAACAAATGGCTGTGAGATGGCTAAATAATGGATCCTCTCATCTGACCTGCTGATTCTGAGATGTGTTCATCCATATGTAGGCAACAGGAGAATTGGGCTCCTGTATCATTAATTTTCCTAAATACACACCTAAGCTAGGAAGTGGATTTTTTGCTGTGAACCCATTTGAGCTTTTAAAGCCCAAGATAAATTGTTTGCACATATTGGCATTACTGACAGACATCTGAGAGTAATTCAAGAACCACCAAAGAGTTTGCTTCATATCTTCAAGTGCCTGTATGAGGCTTAGTAACCCTGCTAACCCTCCACTGTAAATTTCAAGGTGGGAATGAGTCCTGGCTTGGAATTGAAACCCTCTAAGATCTTTGGGATCAGTGTATTAAGGAGCTGAGAAACTTAATTTTGGAGTTGGTGTCCAGTATCTGTGGGGCTTGTAACTTCCTGACCAGTTTCCAAATAATAAAATTCTAGATGGTTTGGATTGAAGGGCGACTGAGGGAAAAAGTGCACTTTCATGTTGAATACCTGGCCTCAAATCCCAGGCAGCTAACACATGAAGGTTGTAGGGATCATTGCACAGCAGGACTGAGGAGCACGGGAAGAGCTCAGTGAAAGGGACTCAGGCTAAAACAGCAGGGGTTGCTATGGGACAGGATTGAGGCGTGGCGGGAGAGCGAAGGGAATAGGATTGCAAGAGCAGGGCAGGCTGCACGTCTGAAGTGAGGGGCATCCGTGGAGTTCTAGAAGGCAGCAGGTGAGGTTGGAGGTACTTTCACTAACTACTGCCCCTCAGAACTGAGATTATAGAACAAATGTAACTGGCTTAGGGGGTTGTAATGAGCTACAGTGGCATGGCAGGTTCCCCTGACCTAAGTCATACTAGCTGGACAGCACTGCTTCTCTCTGCCAGCCTTACCTTAGGACTCTTGCTGCTAGAGTAAGTGGATTTGCTCCATAGTGTAGAGCAAACATCTGGACAACTCCAGCTTAGCTTTACTACCGGAGGGCACTGTGAGGTGAAGCTCTTTCCAGTGGGAGAATTAGCAATCTGTCTCATGACAGAAGGAATCTCAGGAGGTGAAAAAATTGGTTGGAGGTGAAAGCTGGTGTTTATGGAAAAGAAGCAAAACTGGTTTAGGACTCCATTTATGCCGAGTCTCTGGGCAATAATGGGGCCGATTACTCCACCTCATCTTACCTCACTCAGTCTGATTTACTTGAGCTTGAGCAGAAAGTGCTGTGATGTGTTGCAGTTGTGTGACAGTGTCACATTTGCGATGAGATGCTTATGGGGTTCCCAGGGTTTCTGAGACAAATCCTTTGCTTGTAGGGCTTCATTTGTCTCCCATTTCAATTGGTGACAGCCTGTAATGCATGGGGCTTGTCAGCCTGGAAGCACTGATGTTGCAAAGGGCACTGTTGAGATACCAATGATGATCACTTAACATTTATAGAGATGCGTAAGTGCGGATAGTGCACAACAAATAAGAACTGGGGTTCTTGCTGGAGAAACCCACAGTGTGACTCAGATGCATGCAGCAACTAACAGCCTGACCCTGAGAAGGGCTGAGCATATAACAATACTCACCGACACCAGTAGATATCGCAAGAGCTCACTACCTTGGGGAGTCAGGCCTTAAATGTGGACCGGAAAGGTAGTTGCTGCAATTGTGCTTTTGACGTGCCTGGTATTGTGTCTGTGCGTTGCCTGTGCCCACAGTTGTTGTGCTATGGGGAGAAGCCTGTAGTCTCCAGGGGTTTTTCTCAGCATTAAATACTATTAAAATAACCAAGGAAAAGCACCCATGAGGGTGGCTGTGCTGGCATCTCTTGTTGCAAGTAGGGGAGAATATGGGTCCCTTTTCATCTCCACTATAAAGTTCCTTCCTTTCTCTTTTCCTGACTGGAGCGTGACTCTTGCTGCTGCTGTCCTATGATTTGGTCTGATGATCCATTGTCCTATTCCAGATCCCTAGGATCTACTGGGAGCTTTCAACCAGGCGTGTCCTTCTCATGGAGTTTTTGGAAGGCGGGCAAGTGAACGACAGGGCCTATATGGAAAGGAACTGCATTGATGTCAATGAGGTAAATTGCCATCCATCTTTGAGGTTAGGCACTGGGAGTGTTGCAAAGAGATGAAAATGTTATTATATGTGTTATTGCTGAGGTTGATCATCCATGAAGAGCCAAAAAGGGATGACACACATAAGTAGTACAGCCTCTGCACTGACACATCTGAGAAAACTCTCAATCCTTATGCTTCAGGGTGTAAGAGATTAAAAAGGTTCACCCCATCCTACCTACCCTGTAGGATTGCAGAGTTGTATGGATTGACTAAAGGGAGTTCACATTTTCTCTGCAGCATGTGCTGTGATTCATTGTAAGAGATAGGACACTGGTTGCATGCCTATTGTAAGAGATAGGACACTGGTTGCATACCTTACTCACATACAGGCAGTCCCCAGGTTACGTACAAGATAGGGACTGTAGATTTGTTCTTAAGTTGAATCTATATGTAAGTCGGAACTGGCGTCAGCCGCTGCTGAAACTGATCAGTTTCAACCGCGGCTGAATCTGGACGCCAGTTCTGACTTACATACAGATTCAACTTAAGAACAAATCTACAGTCCCTATCTTGTACGTAACCAACTGATCAGCGGCTGATTCCAGGAAGCCTGGGGCAGAGCAACTCTGATCAGAAGCGGGACCAACCCGGCAGCCCCCAGCTGCTCTACCCCAGGGGTAGGCAAGAAAAGCCTGGTCTGCTGGGGGGGGGG